CTTGCTCAACACGCAGAGCATGTGTCATCCTCCAACAGTGTTGTCAAAGAATACGTCCCTTGGGAACCTTAAAGCATGTAGGAAAGAGTTGCTGGGGCTAGCAACTTGCTCCTGAGCATGGGGTTTCCCCTGGGTCTGGCATAGCAATTGTTTTTATCAGCTGCCAAACCTTTGGCAATTCACCAGCTCCTGATAACACAAGTCAAAACCTGGAATAGCCAAAACCAAACACTGAGCCTGAATTACCGTGTACACATGTCCCCATGCCTGCTGGGAGCAGCCAGGCTGACCATATTTGCCTCTATGCCTAGGTGAGCCCCTGTGAACAGGTCTTGGTGATGGAGAGCACCACTGCTGGCAGATCTCCCTCCTGCCAGTGAGGACTTGGTGGAAACTTTTACCCAGTACAGTGTTTGTTGCTGGGCCTCCTCTGCTAAGGGAGAAAGTACTGGAGTTTGTTTGGCTAGCTGATTAAACAAATCCCAGGGTTTCCTGCCAGATCAGCTGAAGTCAAGCCTTCTCAGCTGCCTCATCCCTACGAGATCATTCAGCAGCACTCAGCAGCTCGGTTACTGCTGAATATTCAGCTTTGAGGCAGCTTTGAGTGTCCTTCTGGCCCTAATGACATCCACAACTTCAGCTTTGGAACAGCTCTTGGAAATGCTGCACAACTAGCATTTTCAATGGTCTTCAGGACTCAAGCTTGGAGGCTTGCGTAGATAAGTGGTGGGCTTGGCTTACTGTGGGACACCTCATGTGTGAGCATGCTGAAAGCCGTATCAGTGCCAACTCACCAGGCTGAGGTATTTTTAAGGTGACTATCAGAACAACCACTTCCCATAGCAACCTGGCACAAGGCATAAATGCTGTTTTGACTGAGAAAGTCCACCTCTAGCTCTATTAACCCCCGCTCTTGCACCCCCCATTTGTGGCTGCTCTGCTAACTATAATGGCAAAGTCCAGCAAGATCCCATTGTGGTTACGGAGGCAGGTACATATCTGGGATGTGTGAAGGAAATCCCCCAAGCTGATCTGTAACACAGAAAGTGGGAAGCAATGGTGGTGACTGAGTGGTAAAAAGTCATGTGAACGTTTTTAAAAGGAGATATAAGACACTGCCATGTTTATTTGGTATCTCCCATTTCTCTCCACTGAGGTATAAACCTCCTGCAGATGATGCCAACCCTACATTGAACGCAAGATTGCTAGTTCAACAATCTACCAATGTATGAAACATCACTGCTCTCACCTTCTGTGAAAAGAGGTGCTACTGGAGGTACAGTTTTACATTCCTCATGCAATATGTGGCCTTGCTTAATGTTTCCATTACCATTTCTTTTCTATATCTTCCTTTAACAAACTATCCACTCCCAGAACCACTCGCTGTGGTCATGCACAGCTGCAGCAGGATGCACTGGGACAAAGCACATGCATATTGACAACTTTACAGTGACACCTATCACATCGATTGTCTATTTTTCCTCATGTTTAAATTTACACGTGTAGCCTACAGAACAGTTATATTGATTGGCCACTTTCTTTGCATGAACTGCTAGGTGTTACGATGACTAGTGACTCTGCAGAGTCCTACATCTTTTAGGGGGGTTCAGTTACCCAAACCGTACCAAGAACCATCTCTCTGTCAGGTTTTGCAAGCAGACAACGCTGTATTCGTCCATAAGGCTGAATGAACAGATTTCCTCGGCAACAAATCTAACTACACTGCAATTTCAGCCTCTTCCTAAGAAAACTTTCTGAAATACAGTATGAGCTTGCATATTTTCAGATGGGAAGCGTAACTGCCTACCGAGAAAAACGGGAACATACGCTCCATTTTAAGCCCATTACAGAAAGGAATTACTTAGAGAGTCATGCGACGCAGAGCTAATGTCATCCTCTAGATAATAACTGCTGCATCTAGTACTGCTCAGCAATGTGCAGAAATAGAAGCGGGCAGAAATCCACCCAGACAAAAGCCAAGACTTTCTTCCTGATATCATTCAGGTGCCCAGGCACGACTCCTGAGCTGCGAACATCCCCGTGCCCTGACCGTGTCCCAGTGGTCCCTCACCTGCGGTTTTCTTTGAAGCGGGGACACAGTGAGTGTTTCCCAGAGACAAGTCAGGACGCAGAGGGAAGAAGAGAGGGATGGAGTCTACCTGTCAACTCACAATGAAATACAGTGACACCACTCCACGCCCCCAGCCCCAAAAGAAAGCTTATTTTTTCCTAGTTAAAAAAAGTGTTTGGCTCAATCCCTAGACCAGCTGCTTCCTACATAAATAAGAGGCATGTGCGGTGTACAGAAAAGAATATTTGACATTCCTAATCAATTAGATAAGGGAAAAACCAGTCCATTTTCCTGTTCAAAATAAAATTATCGTGGTTACTTCAGATTTCAAGGGCATTTATCTTTCAGCTTCAGACAGAGGGGCACTGAGTAGGCTGCAGGTTACTGACCCGGCGCTGCCAGCTGGGATGGAGGAACCCAGGCCCAGCTCTGGCAGGGTGCTGGAACAGGAATAGCCTCGGCAATTGCCAGCCAAGTCAGGTGTGCCCTGGTAGAGCCAGGCTTTTGCCAGGACGGCGCCAGGCCAGGAGTAACTGGCAGCATGGGGAAGGATTTAAAACACCTCAAACCAAATGGTTCAAGGGAAGCATTGCTGGATCTTTCCCGCACACTCCCTGGCTTTGAAAACTTGTATAAGCATTTATCCAAGGAAACGCCGAGGAAATCAAGGTGAGGAAGAAGGTGGCTGGTAGGGCTGTAAGGGAACACAGGCACCTTCCCTACCCCAGTTCAGTTCAGGACATTTCAGTGAAAGAGGTACAACCCGAGACGCCCCAGGTATGTTCTACTCAAAAGCACAGGAGGCTCCACACCCTAGGGCAGCAGCCAGGCATTGCTGCTGGCCCCGCAGTAGAGGCAGGAGTCACAGGCTCTGTGTCATGGTGCCCCCTTCTCAAAGACCACATGCCTCTGGATCACCAGCAGCCTTTTGAGGCCTCTCTGCTGGCAGGTAGAATCACAGAATCATAGAATCATAGAACAGTTTGAGTTGGAGGGACCTTAAGATCATCTGGTTCCACCCCCCTGCAATAGGCAGGGACTCCTCACATTAGAGCATGTCACCCAAGGCTCTGTCCCACCTGGCCTTGAACTCTGCCAGGGAACAGAATACAGTCGGAGAAGGGATGAGGTTTTTGAGAGGACTGGCTCTGCTGTTGAGGGCAAAGCAGCAGCCCCACAGCGCTGCCCTTTGCATGGCCTTGGTGCAGCCATGGCAGGCAGGTGGACTGCAGGTCCTTTGAACTGGTTTTACCCCAACCAAGCAGCTCCAGGCCACCCCGTGCAGTTCCTGGAGACTTCAGGCCCGGGCGCCTGGATCGGAAGTCTTGATTGCAGCTGCCTTGCTTTTGCAATACCAATTCCGTGTTCTTCCAGGGTTTGTCAGGGCAGCGCGTTTCACCAGGAAAAATACATGCAAATAGGGCAAAGAAGCTCTGAGCCTACAAACCAGACCCAAAGGAGCCCTCTGGAGACGGCTCTCGCCCGTGAAACCGTGGGCCTGTAGTGCCACCTAATGAACAAGCCGAACACCTAATGAAAAGCCGAACACCTAATGAACAAGATCGAAGTCCACACGCCTGCTGTTATGCGTGGGGAAATCAGGCAAAGGTGGTTGCAAAGGCTTCCTCTCCGATGTATTTTGTCCCTCTCGCAGAGCTGCAAAAACTACTTAGTTGATCCTTGCAACCCATCCATTAGGCAGCAGATAATACTAATCCTGCTCCGCTGAGAAGTCACAGAGCAGCTTTCTGTGTGTTTTCCGAAATACACAAGACAAGTCAACAGTAGTTGAGTAACAAATCAGAGGAACTGCTTTCTCTGTGTCACTTCTAAGGTATAGGGCAGAGAGGTGACAGGGTGCAACTGGGACTCACCAGCTTTTTCCCTGTGTAGCCTCAGGACCCTCCTGTGTGACAAGCCACAAACTCCCATTTGTTTCAGGAGGCAGAGGCTGCGCTCCATTTGTTTGGTGGGGGCAGTGGTCGGGCATGAGGATGAGGAATGACTCTAAAGGGCCTAAAGAACATTCCCTTAGGAAGAAACCACCTGGTGCTTGGGTTTTACATAGGAAATCATCAAAGAGAAGGAGGACGAATGCTCCGCACAAAGTGCAAGCTTCATGCTGGTCACAATAACTGCCTTCTCAGTCCCAGAGAGCAAGACACTGAGATGTTTCCCAGGACTGCATTCGAGTTTCTGGCCTCTGCTGATCTAGGGAGGCAAAGAATCATATAAGGTGCTGTCACAGAGAGTGGCATATGTGTAAATGGCAGCTATATGGGCAGAGCCCTGTCCCAGAAATTGGGAAGTCTGAGCTAAGTGCTCACCTCAGCCAGGAGGGACTGTAAATGCATTCTTCCCACCAGCCTTGTCTACTCTACCCCACATGGCGCGGTGTGGCAGGACATGGTTTAACATGGCATGCCTGTGATATGGATGAAGACCACCCCTAAGCTTCTGCATCCCAAGAGCATAACCCAGACATGTCCTGCTGTGAAAACTGGGTGCCTGCTTATGGCACCAAAGTAGGAGATCTGAACTGAAAGGACAATCAAGTCATGGACTGTGCGGATGCTGAACCCTCAGATTAAGTATGAAACAGACTCAGGCCCCATGATTTTTAAGACTTTCAAAATTGTCAGAGTTTTGGGTGTGAAGAAAGTGAGCACTGCAACTCTGGCTCCTTCTTAGTGGAAGGAACAGGGGGCTTGCACTGTCTCACGTGGAAATAGTCCTCTAAAGAAACTGCATGGATGCTCTACAGACAGGGGGGGCCATAAGAGGATCATACATGAGAGTGGGAGTCTTTGGGAGTTTTAAGCAGTGAACAGCTGAATACGTTTTTCTAGAGAATGTGGAAGCCAAGGCTTTTCAAAGACACATCATATGTCCACAGGTGGGCAGACTCACTAAAACAACAGAACCCAAATTAACTGAAACAACAGAACTCAACTTTATTGAAACCACAAAAATGTTTTTTGAAAAAACAAACCACAAAAGCACTTGTTTTCCCTTGCCCACCCACATTTCAAGTCTAGGCTTCAGAGCACTGAAAATCCTACTACAGCTCCCTGTAGAGGAACGTATCTCAATTGTGTGCTCTGTGTACCAAAGCAGCGCACTTCTCTCTTGCTGTGACACAGAAGTACTCAGCAGTTAAAGTGGCCCAGAGGGAAGGAAGACTGTTCTCCAGCTAAGTGTTTATCTTGGAAAGCAGAGATCAGTGTTTCAGCAACTTCAGTAGCACCCATCTAGATATTTCACATGAATCGGGCACTGGATAATATATAAACACACTCAGGGACTGGGATCAAGACAGACATCTCCTCCTATACAGGAAAATGACCATGAAGGTGAGACATGTCACACCCGTTCCCTAGCCCAGTGAACCCTGAATTCATCTTGCACCAAGTGAGACAAATTCAATGGGTGAATGTGTAATCCCCTTGCTCTTGAGGTAGGTACTAAACCGGTGTTTGGGGCAGTCTCCCATAAGATAGGATTTCATAGCCCTGAAGACAAAGGAGGGACCATACCTTGATAACCACCACTGCTAGGTGTGTGCTATAATGATTGAACTATTGCTCAACAGGTAAGAAAACATGTCCTCTTCCAGTGGCATTTTCAAGCTGCTACTTTCTGCACTGATCCTGCTCTTGGAAGTAGATAAGCTCAAGAAAGACTGGGAAGAAACATCTACCTCGTGGTTCCCAGTTGCAGCTGGGTGTGAGCCAAGGTGCAGAGGTGCTACCCACCAAATGGAGGTGATGTTAAGGGATGAGTGCTAGCTGTGCCATGTTCAGAGGATCACAGCCTGGGATTCAGCGCTTACCATGCCACTTAGATGATGCTCCAGGTTACCTCAGATCTGTGCCCAAGACACATCCACAATGAAAGAGAATTCTGGGTGCTCTCCTCTAAGGAGGATAAAAGGCTGAAGTAGACAACTGTCAGGTATGCCTTGTAACAGGCAGGGAAACCCCACGCTGGGCAAAAAGAAGTTAAGGATCAAGCAAAATCATATTGAACCCACAGAAGGTATTCTTCTCCATGACAGACCCTAACCAGAGCTCTCAGGGGATGTAAGCTTGGTCCAGATGATCTTTTCTCTAATCTCCAGGACTAGCTCCTTTGGCTAAGGCAATGGAGCTTCCGTATTTGTTCTCCTTGTCTGTTGCGTAACCCCACACAACACACTTACCAAAGCACTACTTTGCACTGGGGCTGTGGCTCACTGGCCATGCACTGTGCCAGAAGCAGATCAATACCAGGTGAGAGGCACACAGCAGAAGTGAAGCTTTAAACTGATCTTTCACTGGCTGCTGTTTCAAGGGCTGCTGTTTCAAAACCACAAGAGGAGCTGCCAACTGGCAGCAGGGGGCTGCTGCATTCTTTCTGTGGATTTTAAGAAACTAACATTAAAAGCACTAATTGATGTGGGCATACCAGCAGGGTAGTTTTTCTGGTGCCCTTGGGTTTAACTGAGCTGATAACCCCCTGTATCCTGCTTGTGCTTCCGTGCTTTCAGCCAGTTCACGGGGCTGAGTGAGCTCCTCTCTGGGCCTGGGCAGCACTGACCATGCCTGTTTGGTGCCTTTTATTTCTGTGACATGTTATGAGAATGCCTGCCAAAACCATGATCTGTGTATAAAATGGACCTGCACTTGCAGAGCAGCACGATGAGTGCCATCTACTGAGGATTAAACATACAGCACTGCAGAGACGCCGGTTCAGCCACCTAGTCAGTGGTACATTGCAAACAGCATCGACAAACTGCTCTTTGTGGCTGCCACCCTTGGAACATTACGGAGTCACGGCAGCACTGTTCTCGCAGGCTGGAGAGGCTTGCCCCTGCTGCAAGGTCATTTCTTGGAGCTTCATCAAGCAGCATTTCTTCACGGATGTGCAGGGTTGTTCAGAAGCCGTGCTGATCTTTTCTGCAGTCTTCTGGAGAGAGAAAAAAATATATAAAGGGAAAAAACTGGTGGCAGGATTGGGCTTTGTAGAATATAAATGAATGTTAATAAATTTTTAGTGTTAATGTAACTGCTTGCATCAAGTGGAAGCCGAACCATTTAATCAGGCTAGTAGCAATTAAAATGGTAATTCTGTCTGTACAGATTCTGCTTGCAATTTTTACTCAAGTAAAACTCTTTGAAGTTAATTGTAATTTTGATTAAAGGCTCCTGGATCTGGGTCTCTGAATTCTTACTAAGGAAGGTTCAATATTTGCTTTGGTTTTCTGCACACTGAGTTCACTGTTATATATTAGTGTGACTGTACAATTACTTGTAACAACTCCAATAAAGATTTCTGTAATCTAGTTCTTGATATACTTTAGAAAAGGTCTTTTATCACAGAATGGCTTTTAAAGTACTGCTAAAACAGGCTGTAAGATCTGAAAAAAAAGCTTGATTGCTTAAATTGTCTTAATTATTTCTAGTCCCTACGAATGGCTTAGTAACATTCACTTAACGGTAATTCAGAATTTGGGATTGAGTAGGAGGAAGGGAGATGTTCTCACTGTTCAACCTTAGGGTTCAGGTTTTGACTGTCAATGCAAAAAACCACCAGCCTACTCAGATTACACTAGAACCATTAGTTAGAATGAACACCAACAGTGGTGTAACAGCTTTAAAAAGTAACACTTTTGTCCAAAATGTTGACCAAAAAACCCCAAACCCAAACCAAAAAAACGCAGCCAAACAAGCCCTCTGAGAACAACCCTGACCAGACTGTGGTGAGACAGTAGCATTTTCTGGCAAGTAAAACGAGACACAGGCAGCCTGTTGTGGTGCTGAGGGCACTGGGGGAAGCAGTGGACTTGTGATAGGAATAGTCCTGACTCACGCGGGTCACTATGGCTGGGACAACCGCACCCGAGAATAAAGCCCCTGTGATGAAAGTGGACTTGCATGGAAACACCCCTCCTGCAAAGAAGGAGTATGTATTTTTGTTATCTTGTGGATTCGCCTGGAACTTTGCTGTGTGCTGGTAGCATCTTGTGGTGAGATTTCATCACTCATCCTGCCAGGGAAGAGGAGTGCTCCTTGGAAAGCTGCTGCATAACTGATGCAAATACTGCTTAGACTTCACCTGGGTCATGATAAAACAGACAAGCAGGAAGAAAGAAGGGACTAATCATGCAGAAACTCTACTGATGGTATTGAGCACGTGGGTTCTTGTTGTATTCCTCTGTCTATGAAAAGAGTGCTGCACTTGTGATTAAAATGCAGGTTGATTCATTTTGGCAACTCCTTTAGTATTCATTAACAAAGTTTTTTTTTTAGTTTTGAAATATATAAATTCTTGACCCTAAAAAGACACATATCAAGTAACAGGTTGCAAATATCCTATGCTAGGAAGTGCAACAATTTATCAGTAATTCATCTCTAAGTTTGCTGTGACTCTGGGTTTTGTTTCTTTTATTTTATCCTAAGGTGGTCATTGGCGCACAGCTTCTTCCGTTTTCTGGTTCAGCACCACAGTAATTGGACTGAAGTGCAAGGAAAGGGATTACGAACAGGTTGTTGCAATTCAGAGAAACGTTCTGATCTTCTTTTGTCTCTGCTTTTTTATTCTGAAGGTCTTGATTTTGAGAAACAAAGTAAATCTTAGTTTTCTCTATTCCCTCTGCAACATAGAGGCATAATATAAAAAAGGATTAAAAAGATCCAAGCTTTGTTTTCATTATTATTATTTTGCAACACAGCACAGAAAAAACCCCACCTTGGAATAGACAATGCTATGCTGCTACAGAGCCAGACCTGTGTTATAAACTGGTAGCTCTGCTTAATGGTTAGCCCAGCAGCCACAATTCCCCAACAGTGAACTCTGAGTTCTTCAACGGCTGCAGCACGAATAAGCACCCTGCCAGCTACTGCATCCACAGGTACGGACTGGGTATGTATGTTGTGTGCAAACGAACGCTTTCAAACTAACGTTAACTCGGTCTTACTGTGGGCTTCCCTTTGTTTTAGTATTTGCCGTTTGTAATGTTCATCTGGTATCATACTTTGCATACAAACAGCATCCCATGACTGTGGAGGAACAAATCATCACACTTGTGGGATAACAGGTAGCTACATATACAAGGACCAAGTCCCTGCTCTGGTGAAAAAATGTCTTAGGGGACTTAGATAACAATCAGTTGTTTAACGCGGTGGTTAGGAAGCACAAGCACGTTTCTGTGAGGCGGGCTGGTGCTCAGTGCAGACCGGACACGACATTCGCATTTTACCCAGGGACACCTCGGCCACCTTGCCGAGGCGGCCTTAGCTCCTGCCCGTTTCGAGGTGCCACAGTGTGCCTTAACTACAGAGCCCCTCAGCGCTCCGCGATGGGGCGCTTGAAGCGGGCGGGCCAGCTACACGGTGCCGCCCGCCTCTGCCGCCCCAACACTCGCTGTCACCCCCCCCGCTGCCGAGGCCCGCTCCTGCGCGGAACACCCGTAGACACGCCGGGAAGCAGACGGGATGTGGGTCGGGAGCCGGACGCGGACTGAGACGGCGCGGCGGGAGCGCCCTCTCCGCCGGTTCCCGCCCAAGCGAGCCGCGCCGCGCCCCCCCCCCCCCCCCCGATCCTCCCCCCTCGCGCGCGCGCCGGGGAAAACGTTGCGCAGGTTCTAAAGCGGGGCGGGGGGACGGGAGGGGGCGCGGCCGCGCGCGAGGGGGCGTGTGAGGGGGAGCGGCGGGTAACGGCCGACAGCGGGCAACGGCTGCCGCCACCGCCGCCGTGCGCCAGGCGCGTCCCGCAGCGCCGCCGTCCCGCCCGCTGCATGGAGCTGTCGGCCATCGGGGAGCAGGTGTTTGCGGTGGAGAGCATCCGCAAGAAGCGCGTGCGGAAGGTGGGCTGCTGCCGCGGCGCGGCGGGGCGGGGCGGGCCCCGACGGCAGGGAGGGGAGGGAGGGAGGGGGGACGGGACGCTCACCGGGACACCCCCCCCCCCTCCCCGCGCCTCGCATAAGCGCCCTGCCTTCCCTTCCCTGCCCCCCGCCGCCACGCGCGGGGTAACGGGGTTGCGGCGGCACCGGCCCCAGCCCCCTGCAACCGGCTGGGGTCGGCGGGCAAGGGGCGCGCGTGTGGTGACGGTGGGAGGTGCCGGTGAGGTGGGTGCTTCGGGGCGCCCGTGGTGGGGCGCTGTGGGCATTAACCCGCAAGTGCGCAGCGTGTTGTGATCTTGGGTGGATGGTTCCTTGCAAGGCAGCGTCTCCAAACGTGGGGAAGGGGCTTTGAGCACTGGACGGGGCTTGGAGCAACCTGCTGTAGTGGAAGGTGTCGCTGCCCGTGGGAGAGGGTTGGAACTGGGTGAGCTTTAAGGTCCCTTCCAACCCAGACCAGTCTGTGACTCCGTGAAGCTGCTGATCCCCCCACGAGGAAAACAAAATCAGTTCTCTGGCTCAAGTACTGGGGCAGGTGCTTTGCTTGCTATGCAGTCACATAGAGGTGTCTGCAGCTGCAATAGCGGCTCGTCAAGATATGGTCATCCTGCATGCATGCCGTGCTTTGGGAAGTGCTTGACAAGCCCCTCAGGATAATATTAAAGGTTTTAATACTTGTATGCATTGCTCATGAAGGCCTTGAACGTGATTTCCAATCACTACACTTTTTTCCTTTTTAAATCTTGTACTTAGAGTGAACAAATAAATGGGTAACTGAACTTCAGCTTTGAGCTGCTGTCTGCTTGGGTCGAAAGGCTGAGTGACTGTGATGGATGGAATGGTGTTTGTGTAAAGCATGTAGCAACTGGAAGGGAACATGTCAAAGAGATGCTTCATAGAGTCTGAAATACTGTATTCTTTCTCTCTGCTTAAAAAAATAAATTCCTCTGACACTTGCTCCTGGCATACATCTTCCCCTCGTGTTTCTGTGTGCTGACTTCTTGTAGGGTTGCCTGTAAAAGTGGGAATGGTTATAGTCTTGCTCTCTGGTTGGCTTTTGGGGTTCTGTCTGCAAGGCTTCTGCAAAGGTATGATCCTGAGCTGATGGTAACCGAAGCATGTTTAAATCCCCCTGTGTGCCCGTTTTCTGGGGAGAAAGGTTTAGCAAGTGTAGGTAAATGAGGAAGTGGCTTTGTTTTGAAAACAGAGCAATGGGAAATGAGCTTTTCAGTCACAGAGCTGAGTCCTGTTGATCGGTTGCATTCTTGCTGTAGTCCATATCTGGTTGTGGAGTTCAGCTGTTTTCTTCTTCCTTTTTCTGCCCTTAGGGTAAAGTAGAATACCTCGTGAAATGGAAAGGATGGCCTCCCAAGTAAGTCCTGGTTTTCACTCTTGTTTCTTTAATACTCAATAATAGCTTACCCCGTACCTTTGCAACTGAGCATCTTGGTCTTGTCCCTCATTCCAGTGACAACAAACAAAACCAAAGAGCCACAAACCAAAACTAAATCTGTTTCCAGACGGGCAGCTGAGGGATACAAACTGTGTGCCTGTCTGTTCTGACTGGGTTTTGCCACCGCTGAAATGTTCCATTGAGATGTTTTCTAGATACAAATTCATTATGAGTTTGACAGGGAACCCTGGTTCTCAGGACAAGGGGCAGTGGGTGTAAACTGGAGCATAGAAGGTTCCACGTTAACATCAGGAAGAACTTCTTTACTGTGAGAGCGACAGAGCACTGGAACAGGTTGCCCAGGGGGGTTGTGGAGTCTCCCACACTGGAGATATTCAAGGCCTGCCTGGACAAGTTCCTGTGTGATGTACTCTAGGTTACCCTGCTCTTGCAGGGGGGTTGGACCAGATGATCTCTTGAGGTCACTTCCAACCCTTGGGATTCTGTGATTCTGTTCTTCTGAATTTGGAAGGGCTTGTGCTTTTCTGAGTCAGCACCAAGAAGACCCCACTTTATTTTTAGAGCTATATGTAGTCTTTTAAAATTGAAAACCAGTTGATGGTCTTGTCTTACCATTTCCCCTCTGCAATTCACAAACAGAAAGGGGTAATGTTTTCGATTTCCTGATAGTAGCCAAATGCAGGTGATCTTTGTCCTTTGAAAATTACTGCCATGCTGCCTTGTCCAGACCCTTCTGTTATTTTGAGTGCCTCTTCTGCTTTTGCTTTGGCTGCTATGTGGTAAAAAGGAAACAAAAAAAAAGGCTTTCTAAAGCATTGCTCTGCACTGTTTACAGATATTTATTAAAATGCAGCTGCCTCTGAAGAAGAGTGATTGCTCTGTGCCTAAACAGTCTGTAAAATGCTTTGAGATTAAAAGGATTAGGTGACTGGAGAATATTACTATGTTAGCTAGCAGTCTTGTAGAACAGCCTCCTGGCCAACCCATATGGGGCCCTGTCTTTGCTTTTCTATTTGTAACTGTGTGTGTGTGCATACACTGTGTGTGTGGGTACCACTACATTACACACACAGTTGCACTGCAGAGGGGACTGCTTTTATGGATTCATCCTCACAGCTGCAAAGTGGGGCCCACTAGGATAGTGCTTGCTGATTGTATCCGGTGTCCAAGAAGTTGAAATGTGTTCGTGTGTGTCTAATCCTTAGGGTTTATAGCGCATGTGTAAATATGAGCAGCTTCCCCTCTCTGGTGGTGGTGAGAAAGGGTAAATTTGTTCTTGACTGTAAGTTCTGCCGTCAAAGTGTAACCTTGTGCACTCGTTGACTGCCAGTTGCCATGTAGTGTGCATCAGTTCTTGAACTGCTTCAGCCTTCTAAGTAGCCTTATTTAATCACTGGTAGAGGTTGGGAAATGTAACCTGTCAGGCACCATCCTCTTTCGACGTTTATCCCATTCTCCTTTCAACAAATGCATTGAGGTCCTTCTCTTTTAAGGCCACTTGCCAAGAAGGTGGGGTGAGGCATGGCGTAATTTTTCCTTGGGTAGAGCAGCCGTTATTTTTACTGCTGCCTTTCCCTGCGCTGCACCTTAGAACTCTGGGGGTGCCAGAAACTCCCTTTTGGGAGCTAAAAGCACAGCCTTCTGCTCAGGGAGCAAGGGGATGATAGGGTTCCCTTCTTTTGAATGTTACATATCCAAAGACCTTCCCTCCTCACTCAGACTCTGAGGAGCACTGACTTTTTTTCTCTTCTTTACCCCCCAGCTCCATTTTAACTGTTCACTCAGTGGTTTGAGTTGCTTTAAACCAAGATGCTTTGAGCACTGAAGTCACTTTCATCCTGCTGGCAGTCTCTGTTCCTTGTTGCTAAACATACACATGCCTGTGCTAGCATGCAGCACCACACGCTGCTTGCATCTTTGTCTTCCGATATATTCTGTTTCCTCATCCCCTGTTGTGTTTCTCTTCATTCCCCCCACCCCAACCTTGTTGCATTGCTTTTTCTAATCTCTGTACCAGTTATCCCATCATTCCCATTGAAGGCTTTATGGAAGGGAATGAGGATAGGTTAGTAGTTTGCTGCTTTCCCACGTAATTGATAGTTCACTTTTTTCCTTTCTTTTTAATAAAAAATCTGTGTCAGTACCCTGTACCTCAGATTTCTGGATTGTGCTGCTGGAGTCAGGCAATGGAGGAGTTACAGTCTGATTCTAGCTACAAGCTTGTTTACAACTTGTGTTGGAGTTAAGAGGGGAGGGGGAAGAGGAGGAGTAGAAGGAGGGGGAAGGAAGATCATATGATCTGTTTTCCAGAGTGCCTGTTCTCTGCAGTTCTGCTGCAGCCTCGGCTGTGTGTACCCGTATATACAGCTCTGAGTGCGCGCGCGCACGTTTCAGACTGAACCATGGGTTGTGGGTTTTTTTTTATATGCAGTGTTTTGCCACTGCAGCGAAGCCAGAAACTGAACTGCAGAGAAAAAGGCAACACCCACCAGTTTGGCTGTTTTTCTAAAGCAAATCCTTTTATTTATTTATTTATTTTTTTCCTTCTGCCCATGAAAAGCAATCCAGTGGCTTTTTTTTTTTTTTTCCACCTTCCTTGTGTTATTATTTTTCTTAAATTTGTAGAATGAGTGCCAGAATCCCTGCAGCTGGGAGGAAACCTTCCTCTGTTCAACAGTATCTTGGCATTGACAGCTTACTGCCAGGTTGCTGCAGGAGGCTTCAGCAAAGGAGGGAGGGAAGGATCAGGTGATTATGAAGACATGGCTGTTCTTAACTCTCTGATATACAGTACACCTAGGGATACCTGAATTTCATCACTTTGTTTCTCCCTTTTACAAAAGAACTGTACTTTCATTTCTAGATCCATTCTCCAGGAATGCTCCTCTAATTCCTACCTTTCTTCTACCTAATGGAGAGATGAAAGGGAAAAGCATTCCCAAACCACTTCCCCTGTGTACATATGTGCATGCGTCACATGTCCTCATGCACAGCCTGCACTTTGTCCAGAAACATAAAGATCCTGAAATGCTTTCCCCCCTGTTTAAAGGCACTGATACAAATGTACCCTTACATACCTTAGTGTGGCTGCCTTCTGACCCTCCTCCCCAGGGGATGGGAGGGTCCTTGCTTCCAGGCCCTGGACCTCACATTCCTGGAAAATTAATGTTCTGAGGCATTCAGGGTTTCAGACTTGCTTTCTTGCCTTTGAGTTTGTGTGGTAGAGACATGCCACCTTTCCTTTAGAAGCAAATATGCCACGAGGACCACCTTGTGATCCATTATGCTTTCTACAGTGGGAGGTTTTGGGTGCTTCTCCCTAGTATTAAGTGCAGCTGCTCTTTTTGGGAACTGGTTTTGGCATTGTCTTCTTGGTGGGTTCAGTCCTTTCCTGAGCATCTGACTCCTGTCACAGCTCTCTGGCAGCTGAGGAGGGAGATGGGGCAGTGAGTGACACTGTTCACAGGCTACTTCTAAAGCATCAAGCTTTTTTTGAGTAGTTTTGGTAGCCCTAATCACAGGGCGATTGGGTTCCTCCTTGTGCTGGTACGGAAACACTGATGACCTCTGCTAAATAGAAATAACCTGCAGGGGGAGTCGAGTAAGAGGAATAGTTGGAAAGCCGCCATCAACTTGCCTCAGGGCCCAGATCTAAACATGTTTAGTTGAATGCCAGCGGTGGAGAAAAATTAAACTCCTCTTAAATGAATACTTTCAGTTCCAGTGATTAAAGGTAATTAATAATGCAGGTGAGGAAGCGTACTTACTCCTTGAGCACTCTAAATTAAGAGAGACCTATTTTCCAGAAAGCTGTATCTGATCACGTCTCGTTGTTCCATGGGGCTTGAGGGAGTGCTGCAGATGAGACCTGTTTAGGATTGATTTAAAATCAGTTTCTGAGTGTCCATACAGGCTTTGCAAACAGCGTGGAGGGGGCCCTGAGAAGGAATGTCTTCCTTGTTCTCCTACAAAGATCTGCTTGAAGCTTGGCCCTTCATGTTCTGGGAAAGGGAGGTGGTGTCTATGGGAAGTTGGGGAGGGAATGGCTGAGATTCCTCAGAGCTCTCACAATGTCGTGGCAGGCCCCACCGACCCTTGTGAAGACAGTATCCAGGGCCATAATACACTGGTAATAGGCCTGCAGAGAGAATACTTCATTAAAGTACTGTTTATTTTATATGCCTTGTGTTTGTCTTCAGATACAGCACATGGGAGCCAGAGGATCATATCTTGGACCCTCGCCTGGTAGTGGCTTATGAAGAAAAGTAAGGGCGCATGTTCTTTCTCTCCCTGCACACAAGAAAAGGAAATAGTGTCTATTTCACAGTGTGCATAAAGTGCCCATGCTGTCCCTACTTAAAAGATGAGATCCTGCATGACCTCTGTACCCTGGTGTTGGCTTAGGTGGACAAAAAAGGGTTAAAGCAGCTTTGATTAGCAGTGTTTAAGAAACAACACCAAGAACAAGCAGCACTAAGCTGAACAGCAATCAGTTTTAGGTTTTAATCAGGTCCAGGGCTGGACTGGAGTGATGAGAGGTGATTAAGTTTCTCTAAATACACCCTTGATCAGCTAAGTCAGAGAAATTCCCTTACTGCAAGGCTTTCACTCCTACCAGAAGTGATTCTGGAATGTTTTCAAAGCCCAGTGGTCACCATTGGGTTTTAATGAAAGAAATGAGGGAGCTGTGCTGCAAAAGGTAGATGTCCTGTGGTATTTAGTACTTGGTGTGATTTGTGTTCCTCTTTCACAGGGAAGAGAGAGACCGTGCATCAGGGTACAGGAAAAGAGGCCCCAAACCAAAGCGTCTCCTACTGCAGGTAGCCTCTTGCTCTTTTGTGTATTTCTAACTTGTTAGCTGCTCGCAGGGAGGTGGAAGCTGTCCATTTGCTGTTAGGTGGACAAAATGGGTGGTAACAAGCAACACAACAACATGAAATCAGTTGGTAGGCAGCTAGATCTAACCTGTTAGCTGAAGAGCCAGCTAACTTGTCTTTAAAAACCAAAGCAGCTCCTCCCTCAAAAAAACCCCAACAAACTAACAACAGCTCTTGCCATCTGTACTAGGGGTTTAGAAACTTTGAGCCTGGCTGGTTGCAGGTTACCTGGTTTTTGTGCTCTTTTAATTTCATGCTGGGCTTGGACTTCCCATCGTGTTAAAGGTAGCCACTGGTTGGAAGCAGAGTTCCAGCATGCTTTTACTGTTGTTGAGCAAAACATCCACTCCTAGGAAGTCCCTATTAGGAAGAGCTTAGACGGCAGTTGAAGAGGTGAGAGAAGCAGTGTGCTAGAAGCAGCACAACTTACCCTACTCATCTATATGTTCAGGGACTGAACGAAAAATAGCTTCCTAGCTCCCAGGTGGGAGCCCTGACTGTATTATCAGATTTCCGCTCTCACCCTTGCTGCCCTGATGTCTTGGCAGCGGCTGTATGGCATGGACTTGAGGAGTGCCCACAAGGGAAAGGAGAAGCTCTGCTTCTCTCTTGCACGGAGGTTTGGAGGAGGAGACAGCAGCCTGCCAGGGGCCAAGCCAGGGCAGGCAGAGTTCTCAGAGAAGACTGGGGGAGCGGTCCTGCCATTCTCTCTCCGAAAGCAGCGCAAAAACCAGAAGTACCTGCGACTGTCAAGGAAGAAGTTCCCCCGCATCTCGAGCCTGGAGAGCCGAAACTGCAGGCATGAGTTCTTCCTGAATGATGCAGTGGGCCTGGAGGCCAGGCAGGACCCTGAGGACTGGGAGGCTATGCAGCACACCAACAAAGAAGGTAAGGCCAGACACACCTTGGCTGTGAAGTTTGGGGCATAAGAAGGATGCTCTGCATGCTTCCTCCTTGCTTGCCTCATCCTGGGATTATGGTATAGGTCAGATCAGAGCAGCTTTCACTGGCTCACACTCTTGTCTGCAAGTTTCTTTCTCGTTTGGATGAATAGCACAGGTTAATCTGCTTTTTGGTGCTGCCTCTCTGTAGACTTGCATCAGTGATGCCCCCCACAGGGCTGGAAAACGTGGACAATGCTGCAAGTTACTCCTCTCTGCCAGTTTGCTCACAGCAGAGGTGACATGCAGGTGTGGTAGTACTGAACTCTGCCTCTGTCCATACATCCACGTATTTTCAGTCTGCTGCCCTGCTAAAAGGAGCTTGGCTGGCAGTGGACAGGCTTGGGCACCAGAACTCTTCTCACGGTGCTGCTCTCAGGAGCATACAGGAATGCCGCTAGAAAGCTGTAGTGCATTTCTCTGACCCCTCCTTTCTTTCCTTTCTACACCCCATGTCCTCTAAAATTCCTTGCTATAGAGCTACATGAGAGGGGATGAGAGAGATGAAGTGAGGATGGTAAATCTTGCTTGATCCCACTGAGTAGGCAGCACAAATGTAGGCATGGGAGATGTCCAAGCACATTTGGCATTTTGGGGAGGGATACCAGCATCTTGTTTAGGAGGGCTGTGGGATGCATGCGTAGTTCTGAGTTACCAGGGAAACTCTACCCCTGCATTATTAGAGTTTCTGAAGGCGTAGCTTTCCTGAGGAGTGGAAAACAGGGCTTGTGCTGGTTGTAGTAGCTAAGGGAATCCTGCTACACCTTGCAAGGAGTTGCTGGATTATACAGGATTTTAGGAAGAGGGCATTGTTTTGGGAATCAGAACTATGGCCTCCTTTCTGGGAGGGACTTGACCAGTGTACAAAATCCAGGAAGGCAGCAATGAGGGTAGCACAGAGGTGCCCAGTGTTGCATCATGGCAACAAGAAAATGTGTGGGACTGCTTCACCCGTAGAAGCACTGGGCTCTAAAGCACTTGGGGAGTAGAAGAGTGGACAGCAGTACAGAAATGTTTTTGCTATCCACTTGACACACAGCCTGCATGGAATTCCAGTTACTGTTAGGGGGGACTGGGCTCTTTCTGAAGTGAAAGTAGGCACCCCAGGTATTTGAGACAGAGGCCTTAAGGGGCCCTCATTCCTTGCTCAGCCTGGGACAGCAAGGTATGTAGTACAGGTATAGTGACAGGGAGAGGGGATGTTTTCCTTTCTCTATATTTTTGTGGCTGCCTTTGGGGGTTTGGGGGAAGTGAGGCTTTGGGTGGCAGAGGGACTGATAATTATTCTTAGAGTGAGAAGATGCAAGGATGCTTGGGTTTCTTACGTGGAGGTATCCAGGAGCAAAGGAGGGGTGCGAGAAAGGGAGAGAGACCTCTCTGTGAAGCAGTATTGATGGATTTTGGGGAGAATGGCACAGGCTGCATTGCAGGTGCAGTACAAGGAAGACCCTCCATTTTGGATCCCTTTGACTCCGCATAGGAATATCTGAAGAGCATGTGTAAGAGTGTGTAATTTTTTTACTTCTCAGCAGGGAAGGGCATGTACAAGTAGGTGAGCTCACACCTGGATGAGTGTGCTTTGCTGACACAGAGCCAAATTAAGGACTGAGATGGAGTGAGAGTTACCAGGGAACTGTGCAAGGTTAGATGAGCTGTGTGCTGTTACAGGGTCTTTTGACCTTTGCGTAGGTTGCTCCAATGCTCCTGTGTGTCTGGAAACCTTTGCTTCTCCTTCCTTTCCCATTATATCCTGCAGTGATCCTCCATTTTCCCTTAGCCTGTGAGGGGAGGGCTTGCCCATGCTCTTTCTTGCCTTGTACGTGCAGACTTGGTACTGGCTCATTTCACCCACTGTTTGTCAGAAGGGAGACCCCTTTTCAGTCCTTCCCTTCCCTCTCTTCTTCCTTCTTCCTTCTCCATCACCCTCCCTCTCTCTCCCACTAACATGCTCTTATCTGCCTCTCCTTCTGCAGCAGATGTGGATGGCAGTCTCCCTTGGATTCCCACTGTGCCCCCCAGCGAAGTGACAGTGACAGACATCACAGCAAACTCCATTACCGTCACTTTCAGAGAAGCACAAGTGGCTGAGGGCTTCTTCCGAGACCGGAGCGCACAGTTCTGAATCTCCATTTTCAGTGCTCCCCAAAACCAGTGCTTTGAGGGTGGGGCTATAGGGAAGGGTTATTTTATCCCTTAAGAAAAAAACAAATCCAAAATGTCTCCTCTTAAAATGTTTACACAGACCTTTTTTTTTTTTTTCCTCCCTTTTCCTTTTCTCCCTCTCAGATACGCAAAAAAGAGCAGTGTAGGGGCTGTGTTTGTCATTGCTTTGTCCAGCTGAAAACCTGACAGCCCTTTCCTTGGCAAAGACTACCCTCCTAGATGTAAAAGAAGCAAGCTGAACAATTCACCTTTTATCCTGTCAAGTGGCGGCAGCTGCATTTGTGGGGAGAGGGCATGTGGAGGTTGAAAGAGAGCTGGGTCTCTGTCCTGCCGCCTTGCTCTGCAATTGATAGCCCTTGGATAAAGATTCTTCTCTGTGCATTGCTCTTCCCACCTTCCTCCTCCCTCTCTTCCTGCAGCAGTGAGAGGCGATGGATCCTACCTGGGTAGATAACTCCAGCCTGTTAGGAGTTTCTCTCCTGTGGCCTGCTGTTAGGACTTCAGAACCATATTTGCCTGTCTGTGGTCAGTCCTTGCAGCATGGGTCCGTACAGACTGCGGAGGTTTCTCCCTTTGATTGTTGATCATGTGGAAAGACTGAAGTACATCCCTGCAATGTAGATTGGTGATGTACATTCAATTTGCTCTCATTAAAGGCTCAGAAGCCCGGCGCAGACGAGAACATACCGTTCTGGATATGCTAAACAGGATTTCCAGGCTCAGCTCTGCAGTGTGAGGAATGTGTTATGGAAAGTGGGGTGTTCTTACCCTTTGCAAAATTCAGTATTAGTAACAAATGCTGCCCTGAATGTGTGGCAATAAGCTAGTTGAAAACTGACTCCTCTCCCCTGGGAGGAGGGGCTAATAGGACAACCAAAGCATTGCCTGGCACTGCAAAGACATATGAGATACTGGCACAGGCCCAGGACACAGGAGTTGGACAGGACTGAGCTAGAAATGGACCTTGATTAGAAGAAAACTCTGTTCTTGGATCCCATTGAGAGGTCCAAGGTAAACAACATGTGGGGAAGGCATGAGGAGGGGAAAACATTTCTGAGCAATAAGAATTCTTGGATTGTACTGCCTGAGTAATAATCTTCCGTGACTCCACTCTCCTCACAGTATCTGTGATCCTGTACTGCTTTTCTGATAGGAACTTCCCCTTGGAAGGCTTAAAAATCTTTGCCAAGGAAAGCGGTCTGCATTTCAATAGGCCCTGCCTGAACTTGCACTTAAAAATGTCTTGTGCTGGACTGCCTGTGACACTTGGAGGTGTGTGAAGAATTGCTGTATTTTGAGTTGGTAGTTTAGCATAGCATCTGTTCTTGCACATGCATGTTCTCTTCAATTTTTTTTGAAAGCAAATTTTATTTAAATAACTTAGATTTTTAAATATAGACCTTTTCCTATGGAAAGAAAGAAAAGTAGGCTAGAATCTAAGGTGGGAACTGCAGGACAGAGTGCTGCAAGGTAACATTGACTACCTTCATGATTAGTGTCCTTTAAATTCTTTGTTTTCTCTCCCTGCCCCTCCTGAAGCATCTCTTACCTGCTGTATTTATCCTAAATGAAGCTATGAGCCTTCTGAGCTCTGAAGTAAGGACACCCATGGAAATCCTCACTGTGTTCCTTTGAAGGGCTAGGCTGTTGGCCTGCAGAATTTGGGAGCTCCAGGGCTTCCAGTCCTCAAAACACCTGCTTTTTGCAAAGTGCTTGGACTTCCTCCATGTTTTTTCATTAAAAGTGGGTTTTACTTCAGATAGGATATATAGCAGCTCAGTGTAGACTCAGGATCTCCCCTTCCATCTCAAATCTCTTTTGAGCAGGCCTTTCTTTCGCTGTGTCACAGCAGTTTCAGGACCACTGGGAAGATCTTGACTTTCTGGATGAACCTTCTGTCTCTCAAAAGTGACACAGGAGTTTTATTGTGGAGAAATCTGGAAGGGTGAGAAGTGGAAGCTGGCAGGGGGAGGAATTAATGTAGTGGGAGGAAGAGCGAGTGGGAAGGAAGCCTGCAAGAGCTAGCAAGGGCAAATCGATGAGGTAAGCGTATAGGCTGAGGATGTTTGTTGAATGTGGGTGTCCAGCACGAGGCTTCTGTATCTGGAGTTGCACCCACTTTTGGAGGTTGTGGGGTCAGACAGTGTTGTCATCACTTCCACAGCCCCCCTCTTCCCAGCACCTGTCAAATGCTCTGAATACCTGCATCTCTCTCTTGTCACCAGTGGGGACACCACACAGCTGAGCCCTATCTTGAGGGTTGTAGCAGGTCAGGTAGTTACAGCTGCAGAAGCAAAATATTTTAGCTTATTTTTTTAAAAAGTCTTGAACTCCAGCTCATCCTGCTAAATATTCATGGCTTTTATAGGATCTGGTTTCTTTAATGCAGCTACTGCTGCTTTAGCCCTGTCTTCATCTCAGTGTACAAATACACCAAAAAAGCTTCCTACTTTCTAAGGTTCCTGTCTTCACCTGATACGGGAAGTGTTCTCAGTCCTGTGGTAGGGAAGAGCTTGTTCTAATAAACTGGATTTCACACAGTCATAGAATGATTTGGGTTGGAAGGGATCATAAAGATTCCAGCCCCTTGCCATGGGCAGGGACACCTTCCACTAGACCAGGTGCTGCAAGCCCTGTCCAGCCTGGCCTTGAACACTGCCAGGGATAGGGCAGCCACAGGGCCTCACCACCATCACAGGGAAGAATTTCTTCCTTTAATCTGAATCTCCCTTCTTTCAGTTTAAAGAAATTTTTCATCCTCTGCTTTTCTCTCCACTCACCATCTGAGACTTCTCAACCTTTTGTTTTGGCATTTCTCTTTAAACATCTTTTTTTCCTCTTGCAGTGGAGTTTTCAAAGACCTGTGGTGGTCTTTCAAAGAGAATCCACCCACAGCTTCATATCTCAGTCATTTTCTGGATCAGTCTAGCTTGTGTTCCGCTGGTGACTAATCATCTCGCCACATGAAGTGTTGTACAAAGTACCTGGCTGCCACGCTACTTTGTGTACAGGTCAGTGAGGAGTTAACCCTCATCAGGTTAAGATGCAGCAAGTTGCGTGTGCGTGGGTTTGGTTTGTGAGTGTGAGGAGGAGTTTGTGGTAGGAAACTAAGCAGTTACTGTGTTGGGTTGGACTTTTGTTTTTGCATTCTTGAATTCTTGCTTATCTTAAAAGATTTGAGATTTTTCTCTTGATATGTTTAAAATGTGGCTCAGTTCCATATTGTCTGGTGACATATTATCATAAACTTCCTTAGTAGAGCTGGTCTTCAGGGACTTTAAAAAATACCTTTATTCCACTTCTGCAGGTGTAGAGATGTATGGGGGTTCTACTTGTGATGGCAAGAGAGGTTCTCTGGGTTTACTTGTTTCTTCTCTCCAACACCATCCATCTGCCATTTCAACCCAAAATCTGAAAATCGAGCTGGGGCTTCTTGGGCTAAGATGAAAATCAGATGCTGTGCTCAGAGCTTTGTTAAGCATTCTGTTTGATTAGAAGAGCCAGAATAGCATCCAGCTGAAGCTCAGTTTAATAATTCTATTTGAAGCACAAGCCAAGAATAGAAATGGGTTAACTCTCCCACACCTCGTTTGGCTCCATGGCTGTAAACCAGAAAACCAAACTTCAGCCAGTGGAAATGGCTGAACTGTATTCAAGAAACAAACTTCTTGATGAAGAACTGTTCTAATAGTCATACTTTGAACTGTTTCCATGTGAGAAGTCATCAGCCACGTTTGGGGGACAGAAGATTTTCTTTCATAGATCTTCTCACAGTGAACTTGCTGTATATATATATATGACAGAACTGAGGAGCTTGTGAGGCAGGAAAATCTTTATTGTTAAAACTGTGTTTAAAAACCAAAAATAGTAGCGGAAAGGACTGCCTCTGTTCCTGAATGGTTGTAAACTAGATGTTAGTGCTCTGTGTGATGCTTTGGAACAGCAAGTTTCAACACATAATAGTGGCATTAAGTAGCCTTGAAGCTCCTGCATGCTTCTTTACTGTCTTGCACTTGCCTGGGGGCCCTTCTGCTTGTGAAGTCAGACCAAGGTGGGGTTTTTTCGTTTGGTTTGGGGATTTGGGGTTTTTATTTTTTGTTTGTTTTGGGGTTTTTTTTCTTCTTAAAGCAAGGTCAGGATGTTACTGTGAGAACACCCAAAAGCAGTTCTATTTGCCAAAATAAGCTCAAATTTGTTAGTGAATTGACCCTTGCTTAGGTAAGACCCTCAGACAGAAAGAAGCTTATTGATAAATGAGTGGCGCTTTTTTTGTTGTTAGTGTTGTGAAAGTGTCCAGAATTGTTCTTCTGGTGTTTTGTGACTGAATGTATAAAATTGTTTGTTCACCTCATGGGGGGGCCTTGGCCCCAGTACTGTTTCCTGCTGCATGCCAGTGCTGTTTGATGGTTTCACTGGAACAGAGATAGGAAGACTCACACAGGACAGAAAATAGGCAGGATAGCTCACACAAAGACCCTTGGCCACAACAGAGGCTGGGGTGTGGATGACAGCAGTGAGCACTGTCAGCCACATCCAGGTATTTGAGCAAAGCTAAATCTACCACCGCCTCCCCACCCCTTCCTCTTCTCTCAAGCTTTAAGTTTGTGCTTTCTGAAGTCGGGGAAGTGCAAACCCCTCCTTTTCAAAGCTAATAGGTATCTACCTGTCTTCTGGTGCCACTTGCTTACCTGCAACCCCAGAAAAAAGAGGGTAGTGGGCCTTTCTAGGAAGGCAGTAGGGGCAGCTGCTTGTCAAGGAAGGGAGGGAAGAAAGGAGTTACCTCAGAATTGCTCTTGGTGGGTGGTTGAGGACTGGCCTGTGGGTGGGCTGGCATGAGAGAAAAGCCATGTTAAAAGTGCAAAGACCTTATAGTGAAGCTGACCCCTTGCATCAGTGGATGGATGCCTCTTGGAGTTCTGAGTTGGTCCTGTAGAGAGGAGGTGGTCAGTGCTGCATATATATATCCATCTTTTACCATCTGGGAAAGCAAGGGAGATGTGTACACCTGCCTGTTAACAGCTCGCACAGGGAATGTATAGCATTGGCACATACAGGTAAAGGGAACGCGTTGGTTTTGCCATGCTTGTTGTAAAACAGTTTTCCCAGGGGTGTGGTAAATTTGTTTTGAGACAATAGCTTTTGATCAAGAGACCATGTTGTCCTCTGCCTGCTGAGCTTTACTTTCCTCGCAGAGAAAGGTGAACCTTCTGGGTGTGGAACGACATGGTCAGACCCTTCAGATCCCCTCATGTAATAGGCACTTGTTGGAGTGGTGACCCCTTTTTCTCTTCCATCTCTCTTTCCCTTGCACCCTTAATTTCTCAAAGTGCAGTGGCTTAGCAGGGAGCAGGTGAGTGATGATCCCCAGCTGACCAGGAGCTGGAGGGAGAAGCAGAGCACATAATGGCTGGCAGAAGGACATGGGCTGCCACCGAGCTGGGATCACGTACAAGCTTTGGTCCTGAGGTGGTTATCATTTGCTCTGCAAAGACACCAGGTGCTCTTGTCTGAGAGTACAGGTAAGATGTGGAACAGGAAAGCTCCCAAGATCAGTCCAAACCTCTACCCAGTTTATCTCGTTACTGGAGCACTGGGGGTGGGATTTTGGAGGAGGAGGAAGTGGAAAGCCTTTATTACTATTTTTTTAACCAGAAATTGTAGTGTCAGCACAAAGAAGCTTTTTGCAAACCTGTCAGATATTAAGCAGCTTTTTAAGTTTTTGTTCCTGTTGCTTTTAAATCTGAAGTATGTTTTGAAGCACTTTGGAAATGCAAAGCACTAGGAGTGCTAAGTACTCCTTATTGTCCGCCTAAAAGTGGCATTTGAAAAGCAAAAGATGTATCTGCTTCAGGCCACTGGCTGCTCCTTATCATTCTCCCAGAGCTGCCACCCAGACCTCTGCCTCCCTGCCTGGCTGAAGGGGGGAGCATGCTCCACTGCACCAAGGAAAGGCAGGCTTCCCAGTTGGGGAGAGTGACCAAGTTCACCTTTGGGAACCGGGTTGGCTTCCTCCCTCACGGCCTCTTTTTGTCTGAAGAAAGGGAAAAATGAAGTTGAGTTTCAGTTTGAGTGGTCCTAGTCTGGAACTACGACCATTTATGCCAGCTCTGGAGACATCTTTATAGAGTTTACTGTCTGAAAAATTGCACCTTATTAGCTTTGTTGTGGAACGGGGAGAGGAAGGGCGGGTGAAGCAGGAGCTGTCTGCAGTAGCTGCTGGATTTTTCTAGAGGCCATTTCCTCACCTTATCCCCAGCATAACAGCAACAAAAGAACTTAAATCATTTAGATGAAGCTTTTTGTTCTGTGTATCTTGAGAACCTTTTAAGCAGGCTAAGATGAGATAATCTCTTTTTCCTCACCTAGCCAGTTCTGCAGCCGCGGGAACCCCAGCTCTCCCCCCACCCCGGGTTTCAGCACCAACCTTTCCCCTCAGCGTATGCACAGCATTGGGACCCTTTTGCACACTGACTCATCCAATTTGGTACGCTCCCTTTCAGCTGGGAGAAGGAGGAGTAGATGGGGGCTTGGGTTGGATAGAGGAGGGGTCCTTGGTTATTTTTGTTCTTGTCCCTTCGGTTGTTGCTGTTGTTACACGCTAGAGTATCTGAGTCTTTGCACACGGAAAGCTTCCTTTTGCACAGAATGAGCTTCTATCTTTTGTACAGACTAATTGAATGTATTTGGGGAGGGGGGGAAATAGGGAGTAAACCAATTCCAAGCAAACCAATCAGAGTATAATGCCTTTTCTGAGCAAATATGTGCTGTAAAAGGAGATTGTAATAGCAAAGGGAGGGCAGGCTCAAGTATAATTTGACACAAAGCGTGGTTTTATTTTTGTACTGATATGGATAAGAGACTGTACAGCATCTATTTATTTAGATGATTTATGTGGTAAATGTTGCAAACAAAATTATGAAAATATTAAATAAGAGAACTGACATTTATCTAATGGTCTGTGTGGTCATTTACTTCCTCTTGCTTTAATTCCACAGCTGAATTATTTTCCGCCAGTTGCTTCTGTTGGTATAAACATGCAGTGTGGCTGTAAAAAGAATGGAAAATATATGTGCGTGCGTGAGAAAGGCCAGTGAAGGACAGATGAAGACTGGAGCTTGCAAAAGGCCGTTTCTGACATTACTCAGTACTTTGATTCAAGGAGGTCAGGATCTTACTAATTTTTAACCCACGGGATAAGTCATAGCTCTGCAGAGGTGACCTGGGATGGGTGGTCCTTGATGGATGAGAACTTGAAGCACGCTGATGGGAGGGAGGGTGGCTGCTCCTCTGGGCTTAGGGAGTTGTTGATGTCCTCGCGCAAAGCTGTGGTGCCAGGACAGCTCTGCTGACAGCAGAGCGATGGTGTGCCCTGTATCCTGCATCTCCTGCAGGAACGGAGAAAATACAATGACTGGGTTGCCACATTGGTTGCCAGCAGGGAAGCAGCTCTCCTCCTGCAGAGCTTCACGAAGCTCCCCAGGAGCACCACAGCTCCTGGGTGGAGTGTGGCCCCCTGATTCATGGCAGGTGAGGAGCCTGAATCGTAGAAGTTCTGATACTCCACGAATACTGATACTCCATGGAAAGAATCTTAAGTGTCCACTTTGGTTTCTGACTTGTTCCCTCAAGGC